ATATATATAGACAAAGCAATCCATAGAGATAGAGACAGATATATAAAAATACATAGATCATATTTTGCTTATACATTTTGGCCATCTGCTTTGGAGAACGTTTGCTTATTTATTTGTAATTCCTCCAAATTAAGGAATTAGCCCTCTGTCTACTGTGCATAATGCCAACTGTTCTTCCTAATTTGCTGCTTTTGACTTTCTGAAATTCTTTCCAAGCATGAAGCTTGTATGGTTTTCATTTTTTTGTTGTCAGATGTGTCAGTCTTTTTCTTTATGGCCTCTGGGTTTTGTGTTGTACTTGGAGAGGCTTTCAACACGGCAAGACTACAAGTAGATTCATTGTAAGGACTTCTTAAAACAAAATTTCAGGATGGTAAAAACAATGGTCTGGCCACCCTTCTAACAGAACAGCAGCCAACATTTACTTATACTCTGCCTCAGACAACACAGGACCTCAGATTCCATCTGCACAGCTGTCATTCCCACAGCAGGTAGAAGACAACGCTGCTGAGCTGCACGATCGGAAACTCCCAAACCCGGTCCACTCAAACACACATCCATTTGCACCCATGTCCTGGGCGTGCTGTGGCTACATTGCCATGATACTGGGGAGATCGGTGAAGGTATGACACCTGGAAGGTACACGTTTAAGATGGCCACGCGAGTTACTGTCTAAAGTGTGCAATGCAGAGGACCATTGGCACAGTGTATGGGTTTCTATAAGAATAAAAATGCAAGTTGTTTTCTTTAGATCTTCTCTTATTAATCCCCTATTTTGCTAGGAACTATCCAGAAAGGGCTCTTCTGTGATAGAGGAAGACAGAAAACCAATTCAGCAACCAAAATCAACAAAACACCACCTTTGATAGAATGGAGGTAAGACCCAGCACAGCTGCAAATTACCTAAAACAGGAGCATGTGCATGTGTGAACATGTGCATGTGTACACATGTGTGTGTGTGTGTGGCCTTGTCTGGCTACAGAGAGAGTTCAGCCAGGGTAGATGAAAGGACTGTAAAAGCCAGTATAACACCAACTGCTGGTTTCTTTATGACAGTCTAAAACTTCCTGGCAAGTTTGATGGAGACAGTTATTTTTTAACACATTTTTAGCGTCCATGTAAAAAGTGAAAGAGTTAGCATATGCTGAATCATATTTTCCAGTTAAACACAAAATAATAATAAAATAATCTACCAGCAACAAGTGACATTTACAAATCCAAAATATCTTATACAGTAATTCCCAATTCTAGACATGGTGGCTACAGCCACACCATAAAGTGCTTTCTTAAAATGCAGATTATTGGACCGCTTTCCTAGATATCTTCATTGAGGTTCTCATTAGAGGCCCAGACATGGGATCAGCATTTTAAAACTACTCCAATGATTCCAGTTTGGAGACCACTGCTCTTTAGAAAACGTGAGCCAGTCCTTTGTAGGTGGACTCCATCTCGTAATACTGCCTTGTGCACGGGCTTTCACACCTGTCCCTCACCATGCCGGGACTGTGAGGGTCACTGTCTGAACAGGACAAACTCCACTGTGCCCGATGGTGCTAAGTCATGCCATGGTGCTTGTACGTTCACGCTCAGGGTGCTGAATAATTTCACTCTGCCCAACACCCAGCCTTCTCTCAAGGAGAAGCTGACTGAGCCTGGGGGGAATTTTGCTTATGAGCAAATGGCAATGAAAAGGAGAACCAACTTCTCCTTTGGCTTAGAGAAGGCCTAGATTTAATAAATAAATATAAAAATTGAGCCTTTCTAATTTCAAGATGATTCAAATGGCAAGATGTACTCTTTCTGCCCAGCAAGAAAATGAGTAGTTTCAGCAGGATAAACAGAAACTATAAAACCAAGAGAAGCTGTGGTCTCTGAAGGTCACATTAACATGAATTCTTGCTGACTAAAGTAGGAAGATCAGTGCTACATCGGACAAAAATGTCTCAGCTCATCATGGAGCCACTGAAAGTGAGTAAAATTATCATTTCCATTAAGTGGGAAAGAAGGCTTTGGAAGAGTATCCAGTCAGCTCTAGCAATGCGCTCTGTTGAGCTCATCACTGTGTTTAGGTTCAAGATGTTATTGGGTAGAATGTTTAGGAGATTTTTAAGCCTTTCTAATATAATTTTCAACAAGAAGAATTTGTGGTAGTGACAGTACCCACAATTTAATCTCAGCCAGATGCTTTTCCCAGTTTTTACATTTATTTTTAGCCCACCACATGGCTCCAGGAGAAACTGAAAATGTGAGTTAGACACAGTTTTCATCGCATATGCAGAGTGAAAATAGTAACACTTGGTGTATTTTGTGCACATTATATTTTTTAGGAAAGCAATAAAAATGCACTGTGAAAAAATAGAGTTTAAATATGCTAATGGTACTACCTAAAGTATCTACAAGCAAGTAAGAGAGATAAAGCAATGCAGTCAGTAGTCTAGCTACTCTGTAGCATTTGGTTTAGCAGCTTTTATTTGGAAGACTTTAAAAGTGTTTTATCTAGAATCAGCTGTCAATGAAACAGCATATGCACAAACATTTCTTAAACTACATTTTTATGAACTGTTATAATTGACCAAAGTAAAAAATCCTTAAACTCACTCTTACAGACATACATGCACACACATGCACACACACATACACCCTTTGACTTTGTGGGGAAGTAACAGGCTGTCTTTGGTTTTGTTTGCTTTTCTGTTGTCTGAATTTGCTCAGATGGCATTAGATGGGCATGTGGGCAGGTGGATAAAAACCAATCAGTATAGCCCAGCTGGTGTAGCTCAGTGGTTGAGCATCGGACCCATGAAATAAGAGGTCACTGGTCCGATTCCCTTCAGGGCGCATACCCAGGTTTCGGACTCAGTCCCCAGTAGGGGGTGTGCAGGAGGCAGCCCATTGATGTTTCTCTCTCTCTATCCCTGTCCCTTCCTCTCTACAAAATCAATTAAAAAAACCCAAACCAATCAATATAGCTGATAACTCAGCTAGTATCCCATCTGTATATGAGAATTGTTGCGATGACCAGCAAACTCAAACCTTAGAGTCCCTTCACGTGCCCCTGACCTGGAAGGAGGGCCCCCCACCCACAGTGGGGTCCGGGAGAGGCGCTCCTGGTTATGCGGAATTTGCACGTGAGGACGCTCCAGAACCGTCTGTGCTGCACTGAGTCATGCTCACAAGTTAATAGCCATGATCACTTACAGAGGAACAGAGGAGCGAAGCACTTACTGGAAAACTGTAACTGAAGATCGACTTACCGGAGACGTGGTTAGTCGAAGGATGGTGCCATTTTTTATTTCATTGCGATTCTGGGAAAGAAAACAAAATCTCTGTCAGTCGTCAGGTAGAAGCTTTGGAACAAAGAGAGCAAAGGCAAATGGAATCGAGTGGCTACTATAAGAAGCACTCTTAGGATTCAGTTTATCCTCAGTTGAAGATTTTTAAATTATTTCTACAAAGAATTTTAAACTGGCTCCCAGATGTGCTAACTTTATATCAAGTCATGGACAGCATTCAGCACAGAGGAAGTGAATATATAGCCAAAGAATGGGAAGATGGGGCCCAGGAACAGCAGACAACAAAAAAGCAATTTTGAAAGTTTTTAAGGGACTCTGACCTAGTAATTCTACTAATACAAGGGCGGACAAAAGTAGGTTACAGTTGAGGACACGAAACAGAGCTAATAATGCTACTGCGAGGATCATATCCTGCGTGTCTTTTTCCATACGAACAACTGTAAGCCTACTTTTGCCCACCCCTGTATATACACGAGACAATTGAAAACATGTCCACACAAAAATCTGTACATGAATGTTCATAGAGACATTATTCGTAACAGCCCCAAAGTGGAAACGATCTGAATGTCCATGAACTGAAGAATGGATGAACAAATGTGGCATATCCGTTCAGTGGAATATTACTCAGCCACGAAAAGGAATGAAGTACTGATACCTGCTACGGCATGATGAACCTTGAAAACATTACACTAAGTGAAAGAAGCCAGACATGAAGGCTGCATATTGTATTGATTCCATTATAGGAAAAGTCCAGAATAGGGAAATCCACAGAGACAGGAAGCTGATTTGTGGTTTCCGAAGGTAAGGGGAGGGGAGAGGAAATGGGACTGAATGCTAATGGGTTCAAGGTTTCTTTTCTGAGCAATGCAACACTCTAAAATTGACTGTGGTGATGGTTTCACAAATCTATGAATAGACTAAGCCACTGAATTGAACCCTTTAGAAAGGTATATTTCGGGGAGTGTGGATTATATGTCAATAAAGCTGTTCTTTTTTTAAAAAGTTCTTAAGGAGCTTGCTGTTTTATCATTTGTTAGCTCCAACTGCATGTTGCCTTAAAATACAAAGAGCAGACTCGAGCAGATCCCAGATCAGTCCATCTCCACTGGGTGAGTGTGTTTGAGGTGAGTGTTCGAAGGTTTCAGTGTCTCTGGCAGGGAGAGTAGAGTTTCGCTGGCAGTTTTATTTTCTGCCGCCACAGTATGCGCCAAACTTAGCTTTCAGGAGGTGGCCTCACGACAGTCACCCTTTTGCAGCCTCCACCTGGGAGCAGCGAGGCCAGGAGGTTAACAACGTGCTTTAAGACTCATTCTCCTGCCTCCTTGAAGACAAGCCACAGGCTAGGATTTGCTCAGGATGCAGCAGGCACACAGAGATGGTGGGAAATTTCTCAGGATGAGATGCCAAAAACATGTAGAAAGCTTGCTCTCTCCCTCAGGCTTCAGGCCAACACTGCCTCCCAAAGAAAACCTAATCTGTACATTCTATGCCGAGTGCATGCAGGCCTGAGAGCCCAGCCCTGCGGAATCAAACCTTCCTGGGGTAACTCCAGCCTGATCTAGAGCATCCCTGGCCAGACACCCCGGGCCACCCCTCGAGAAAGCACCCTGCTCATTCCCAGCAGCGTGCAGGTAGTGGGTGAAGGACCACCTGCGGCCAGGCTCAGATATGAGATGGTGAAATAAATTTCAATGATTTTAAAAACCTCCTTTCAACTCTAAAATTCTGACTCTATGAGAATTACGGAATATTAAAGAGGTGAAGTTCATAGCACACCCGTTTCCTGCTCAATGTCTAAGTGAATTGAGAAATAGAATCAGAAGACGAAAACCCACAATGTCCCATTTATCAGCAGTGATGGGGACCGAGGTGCAGAGTGAGAACTAGCAGACGGAGCCCTGAGGTCAGGCACATGTGCAGGTAAGGCCTGAGGCAGGTTCCTTCCCAAGAGGAAAGGGGCCCAGTTTATTCCCCCAAAGAATCAGCCAAGGAGGGAAAGAGACCTGGGGGTATGAAGAGGCCAGGCGGGTTTAGCAGTAATCTCCCCCATGGAGATCTGGGGGGGGCATTCTAATAATGGCAGTACACTAACATTTGGTGAAAGGCACTGAGCTGAGGTTTTTTGGGTTTTATTTTTTTAGTTGTAATGCTGATTTAACCAACATAATTGTATTAAAATGCAGATTTCTAGGCCTCCCACTCCACAGCCACTGACTCAGGAGCCCAGGAAGCTGAATTTTAACTATGAGCCCAATAAAGTTCAGAATCATCCCAGCCTAATTCATAAGATCACCCAGCACAGTTAGAATAAGGGTTCTGAATTTCAAGGAAATAAAGTCTGAGGGAAATGAGACAAAATCACAATGAGCTATCACCTCACACCTGTCAGAACGGCTGTCATCAGAAAATCAACAAACATCAAGTGCTGGCAAGGGTGTGGAGAAAGGGGACCTAGTGCGCTGCTGGTGGGATGCAGGCTGGGGCAGCCACTGTGGAAAACAGTACGGAGAGTCCTCAGAAAATTAACAATGGAGCTGCCATTTGACCCAGTGACCCCACTTCTAGGAATATATCCAAAGACACCCGGAACGCTTAGTCACAAGAATACAGGCACCTCTATGTTCACTGCAGCGTTATTTACAGTAGCCACGATCTGGAAACGGCCCAAGTGCCCATCAGGAAACAATAAATAAATAAGCTGTGGGACATTCACACCATGGACTACTACTCGCCATAAAAAGAAGGAAATCTTACCCTTTGTGACAAGCATGGAGGGACCTATATGCTAAGGGAAATATTTCAGAGAAAGACAAATACCATATGATTTCACTCATATGTGGAATGTAATGAACAAAATAAACTAACAAAGTAGAGACAGGCTCGCAGATACAGAGAAGAGACAGAGCTGTCAGAGGGGAGGGTGGTTTAGGAGCCGGACAAAAAAGGTGAAGGGGTTAAACAAAAACAACTCATAAATACAGGCCACAGTGTGGCAATTGCCAGAGGGAAAGGGGGCGGGGGAGGTAGGAGAGGGTCAGAGGGGGATAAATGGTGACTGAAGGAGACTCGACTTGGGGTGGTGAGCACACAATACAATATACAGCTGATGTGTTGTAGAATTGTGCCCCTGAGACTTTTATTTACCAGTGTCCCCCCGATTAATTCAATAAATAAATAAGTAAATAGGGGGAAAAGAACAGAAAACATTTATGCAGGGAACGTCCAGGCTCCCAGTGTAAAAAGGAAACTTGGGGACAGACGCCCGCTGCTGCGGTTACGCACCCCGCAGCCCCAGCCGGTGCTAGCCCCTGACACGCACCGCGCCTCACAGGGCATCTTTGTGCTTCTTCACAGGACAGCTCAGAGACTCGGCCTCTGTGTGGAGTGGACTATAAGCTCATGCAGAAAAAATGTCATTGTCATACTTCTCCCTCTGAAATTTGCTTTTCTCACTATGCCAACTTTCTATCTAGCCAGACAAATCAGGAATAATTTCCTGGTCAAAAATTCCAATTCTACCTCCCTTCCTTGTTCAGCAAGGAAAACTGAAGGTCAGAGGGGGAGGGGACACGTGTGACCCCACACTGCAGGCCCCTGGAGGGCAGACAGCCTCAAGGATTTCTCCCTCTCTCTACCCCTTATGTGTCCCCCACTCTTAGATGTGACGAGATCACTACTTTGGACGCATCACTATGAAACCACGCTCACTGTTCCTTGCATTCACTGCTCAATCATCCTGGAGACCGATTCTGCATGGAAACCTGACCCCGTGTGTCCTCTGTGTCCACCTGGGTGACCTTCAACTCTCCAGGCTCAAGGAAATAACTGGGAACAGTATAGGATGTGCCGGTTGCTAGGTGACAGAGCAATACCCCCAAAGCCAGGAGAAAAAGGGCTGAGAGGTGGGGTGAGGACAGGGACCACGAAAGAGGGGGTGGCAGGCTGTTGTAAGTGAGCATCTCCCATCAGGATGCTCTGTCCTTCCCCAGGGTCACTGACATCAGGGACAGTGGCCCCCCCAGTGATGGCAGCCTCTCGCCTCCCATAAATTAAAGGATTTGGTTTTCTTGCTCCTCACGAGATTCTCTCCTCAGTGGTGGTTTTTCTCAAATCCTCAATGCCCTGAGTGCGACTCCCAAAACCAAAAGAAGACGACGAGTGTTAAGTACGATGTCTGCTGACCACCCGCCTGTGGGGTGGACACAGGCCGGGGAGGTGGAGCTCTCGTCCCTGGCAGCAGGCTAAGACCCGGTGAGCACGGAGGGAAGTGGGAGGTAGCGCAGGAGCCCAGCCTGCAGGGAGGCAGGACGCCGAGGGGAGGGCGAGGAGGGTGCCTGGCCCCTGAGCACGCCAATCAACAGAAGACAGAGATAAAGATAAAGCAGAGATAAAGAGCCGTATGTTTAAGAACATGCTTATCTTGCCCGGCCAGCATGGCTCAGCGGTTGAGCATAGACCTAGGACCCAGGAGATTGANCTGGTCAAAAATTCCAATTCTACCTCCCTTCCTTGTTCAGCAAGGAAAACTGAAGGTCAGAGGGGGAGGGGACACGTGTGACCCCACACTGCAGGCCCCTGGAGGGCAGACAGCCTCAAGGATTTCTCCCTCTCTCTACCCCTTATGTGTCCCCCACTCTTAGATGTGACGAGATCACTACTTTGGACGCATCACTATGAAACCACGCTCACTGTTCCTTGCATTCACTGCTCAATCATCCTGGAGACCGATTCTGCATGGAAACCTGACCCCGTGTGTCCTCTGTGTCCACCTGGGTGACCTTCAACTCTCCAGGCTCAAGGAAATAACTGGGAACAGTATAGGATGTGCCGGTTGCTAGGTGACAGAGCAATACCCCCAAAGCCAGGAGAAAAAGGGCTGAGAGGTGGGGTGAGGACAGGGACCACGAAAGAGGGGGTGGCAGGCTGTTGTAAGTGAGCATCTCCCATCAGGATGCTCTGTCCTTCCCCAGGGTCACTGACATCAGGGACAGTGGCCCCCCCAGTGATGGCAG